CGGTGGCGACCCATCCAAGATTCTAGCGCGTTTGATTATTGTCTTTCTGCCTGCCTTTTCTCTTCCTCCTGAGTCGAGTCCCAGGGGCGAGGAGGGGTCGATTAGTATAGTTGGCGACGACCCCCCCCCGTGTCCGTGCACGCCGTTCGGCCCCCTTAAGCTGTCGGCGTGCTGAACCTGCGTCAGTTCTTACGCCAGTCTGTTCTATTCGCTGCAATGCAGAATGTGAGCAATCGAGTAGCCTCGCTTCGGTGCACCCTGCTAGAGCTATGGAAACAAGCGTGCATCGCCGTCCGCCCTCCTCTCTCGTCCTCGGGCCCCCCTGCTCATCTGGGTCCCGTGGGGCCCCCGCGTCTCGGCCTCTCTCCGTGGCCGTCTTGGCTCAGGCTGTGGCGGATGCCTCGGGCGCTGCCGAGAACTCGGCCGACCACGACGGGTCCTTCCTCAGCCGCAGAGCCATCGCTGGCGTCGCGGCGGAGGGAACTCACGCGGGAGAGAGCTCGAGGCGCGAGCGGAGTCTCGTTGGAGGGCCGAGGGCCGTCAGCGCCAGCGGAGGGCTCGCGAGCGCAGTGCCTGGAGGCGGCGGCGGAGGCACAACCTGCCGCCACCCGAAGGCGCGTCACTGGACAGCGGGCTCTGTCAGCTGGGGAGAGCTCGAGCGGCGCTACCAGCGAGTCCGAGGCCGCCATCGAGCTCAAGCGGCAGGGGACGCTGGCGAGGCGTGTGAAGAGGCGACACCACGCGGTGGCCCGCGCTATCGAGGACGGGGCGCCGCTCGACCGCGACCTGGAGCCGAGCACGGTGACGCCGCGGGCGAGGGCCCAGTACCAGAGTGCTCGAGCAGTTGAACCAGAGGTGTGGCCACCAGGACTTTTCCGAGATGCCAGCGGAGACGATGGACGCTTGCCTGGTCCTCTACTTCACCTCGCTGCGCCTGCTGGGCGAGCAGGCCTCGACGGGGATGTATGTCGCGGCGGCTGTAAACCATTTCTATCCGAGGTTTGGGCGCTTGGGAGCGGACGCGCTGCCGCGGATGTGGAAGGCGCCTGAAGGGATGGAAGCGGCTGACGCCTGGGAGAGCCAGGATGTCCGAGCCGCTGAGCATCTGGCGTGCCCTTATGCATGTTCTGGTGTTGCGGGGGCGACGGATGATGGCGGTGTTCTAGGCGCTGGCTGTGTCTACATACCTCAGGCCGTCGCCCCTGTTCCGCTTGCGCCCTGGCGACATAGCGAAACCAAGAGGTGGCAGCCAGCATTGGGGGGCCCCCATGCACCCGCAGGACCGAGCGACGCCCGACAAGGTGGGAGAGTTCGACCTGAGCGAGAGGCTGGGCTCCTCGTGGCTTCGGTGGATCGGACCCGTCCTGAGCGAGATGCAGAGGCTCGATCCACGAAAGCCGGCGTGGGAGTTCGACTACCCCGAGCTGCTGCGCGAGAGGAAAGCGGCCTGCCGCATGCTACGGGCCTCGCCGAGAGCGGGGTGCCCACCTGGATGTGGCAAGGCGACAGCCTCTGTGACGAGCGTTTGGGCGCGCTCCTGGAGCGCCGCCTCCAGGCGCACATTCGGCGCGGCGAGGTGGCCGTGCTTTTCCTGTCGCCCGCGCTGCCGTCAGCGAGCAAAGCTACAGGGAGGCTGGTGGCCCACCGCCGTCTAAAAATGTTTGCGGAGCGTTTGAAGCGTCTCATCGGCGCTGCCTGGCAAGCTCGAGTGCCGCTCCTCCTGGAGATACCCCAGGGTAGCAGGCTTTGGCCACATCTGTTGAGCCAATTCGTGGTGCCAGAAAGTTGCGTGACTAAAGTTGCCCGTGGCAGATGCATGTTCGGGGCCTCTTGGAGACACCGTTGTATATACATGCGCGTTGGCACAGAGCCCGAAAACATATCGATATAGCTGCACAGGCATTTGTGATAGGACGGGCGTCCCTCATATCCGCCTAAGGGGCAGAGATAAATTCGGGGCGAACCACACTAGCTATTCGCTGAAACGCCCTGCACGTTTAAACCACGCGCTCACTCACTCCCTCCAGTCCCTCGCTAGAGCCTCTATCTATACTGCTAACCCTGTGTAGGGGGCAGGGGGCTCCCGCGCGGCGGGGGGGGGTTCTTCTGACTATCTTCGGTTCCTACGGAGCGGGGCCTTGTCGGCCCCCTTGTCCCAGAGCTCTGGAGGAGCAGCTCGCTTATCGCAGCGAGCCGTCGTTAATAGAACTCGGTTCTCCGCCTAACGAAACAGCGTATCATGGGGCTGCGTGCGCGGATATGATTAAGCGGGGAGTCCTGGAGGGGGGTTTCCGCGCGGCGGGGGGGGGTTCTTCTGACTATCTTCGGTTCCCTCGGAGCGGGGCCTTTTCGGCCCCCTTGTCCCAGAGCTCTGGAGGAACAGCTCGCCTATCGCAGCGAGCCGTCGTTAATCGAACTCGTTTCTCCGCCTGACGAAACAGCGTATCATGATGATGATGATGATGATGCTGATGATGCTGATGCTGATGCTGATGCTGATGATGCTGATGATGCTGATGAGGATGAGGATGAGGATGAGGATGAGGATGATGATGATGATGATGATGATGATGATGATGATGATGATGATGATGATTATGATGATGATGATGATGATGATGATGATGATGTGATGGTGTGATGGTGATGATGATGCTGATGATGATGATGATGATGATGATGATGATGATGATGATGATGATGATGATGATGATGATGATGATGATGATGATGATGATGATGGTGGTGGTGGTGGTGGTGGTGGTGGTGGTGGTGGTGGTGGTGGTGATGGTGATGGTGATGGTGGTGGTGGTGGTGGTGATGATGATGATGATGATGATGATGATGATGATGATGATGATGATGATGATGATGATGATGATGATGATGATGATGATGATGATGATGATGATGTTGCTGTTGTTGGGGATGAGGATTGGGATGAGGATGAGGATAAAACTTGCTAGGGCTGGCCTCATGTGAGGCGGTCTTGGGGGTCCCTCGGGGCCCTCTTGGGCTGTGTTAGCGCTCTCTTATGCCGGGTTGTAGGCCTGGGGGCCGTCGTGTGGCCGTCTTGGCGCCGTCCTGGGCCATTCAAGGACCTCCTGAGGCCGTCTTGGATCCCACGAGAGGCCCTCTTAGGGCGCCCAGGATGCCTCTTGGGACATCGTGGAGTCATTGTTGGTCGTCTTGAGCTGGCGGCATCCCGAGAAGGCGAGAATGCGAACATCATACAAATGCGTATATGAAATCAATGATTTGGGCTGTTGAGGTCCTCTTGTGGCCCTTCTGGGCCGTATCGTAGGCATCTTGGGCCGTCTTGAGGCACTTCTCGGCCGCCTTGGGGCAATCTTGGGCCGTCTTCGAGGCCTTTAGGACCATTTTGGTGTCCCTGGTTGCCTGCACGGGCCGTCTTGGAAGCTCGAGACGCAGATCCATTGTTTTCTACAAAGGATCTTGAGCGCCTGGGAACGCGGGACGTGCATCATCTTCGAGCGGGTGCGCCTGGGATGAGGGGTCTAGGAGGTAGCAGCCGTGCGGGGAGCGCGCAATCCTCGTGTTGGCACGCGTGGAAGGAGGGCTCAGGCAGTAGCTCCCGTGCGGGACGTGCACCACCCTCCAGCGGGCACGCGTGGAAGGGGGTTCAGACATTAGCTGCCAGGCAGGAGGTGCATAATTCTCGAGCGGGCGCTGCCCGGGCAGTGCAACATTCTCGAGCGGGCATGCATGGAACACGTGTTCAGACATTAGCTGCCATGCCGGAAGTGCACAGTTTTTGAGCGGTTACGTGTGGAAGGGGGGCTCAGGCATTAGTTCTCCCGCGGGGAGCGCACCATCCTCGAGTGGGCACGAGTGGAGGGGCGGTTCAGGTATTAGATGCCACGTGGGAGCCGTAATTTCCTCGTTCGGGCACGCGGGGAGGGGGACTTCGGCATTAGCTGCCGTACGGGAAGTGTACCATCCTCGAGCCAGCACGCATGGAACACGTGTTCAGGCATTAGCTGCCATGCGGGAAGTGCACCATCCTCGAGCGGTTACGCGTGGAAGGGGGTTCAGGCATTAGCCCCCCTCCGGGGAGTGCACCATCCTTGAGTGGGCACGAGTGGAGGGGCCGTTCAGGTATTAGCCGCCATGTGGGAGCTGCAATTTCCTTGTACGGGCACGCGTGGGAGGGGGAGTTAGGCATTAGCTGCTATGCGGGAAGTGCACCATCCTCGAGCCGTTACGTATGGAACACGTGTTCAGGCATTAGCTGCCATGCCGGAAGTGCAACAGCACGCGTGGAAGGGGGGCTCAGGCAGTAGCTGCCACGCAGGAAGTGCACAATCCTTGAGCGGGCACGCGTGGAAGGGGGGCTCAAGCATTAGCTCCCATGTGGGACGTTCACCATCCTCAAGCGGTCGCACGTGAAGGGTCGGTTCAGGCATTAGCTGCCGTGCGGGAAGTGCACCATCGTCGGGCGGGCACGCGTGGGAGGAGCTAGGCATTATTTGCCATGCGGGAAGTGCACCGTTCTCGTGATGGCACGAGGGAAGCGGCCTCGGTGAGCCGGGGGGATGCACGCAAGAGTCCGCGTGTAGAGGAAGAGGCGGCTTCTTTGTTAGAGTTCAAAACCCTACCGGACAGACCTTAGCATTCTTTCACGTATCAACCTGCCAGGGGGCACGGTGGCGGATAGCGTGTCGCTCCGCCTGTTTTCGCCCACCACGCTTCTGCGCGACACGTTGGCCACGTCCCAGTCCCCAAGAATCGACGTCCCCCTCCCATCCTCCGTCCCACGGAGCGGAGCGACACGCTCTCCGCTCGCAGGGCATAGCGTGTCGCCGGGGCCGCCGCCTCGACACGCCAGGCAGAAGCTGCCGACCGTGGCAGCGAGAGCCTTCGGGCTCCTGGCCCCCGAGCCCATGAGCCTTCGGGCTCCAGGGCCCGGCCTGCCTGTGGAGGAGGCCTTCTGCTGGGCTGCCGTGCGAGTGCCCCTCTCGCCCCCCGCACGCCGCCCCAGGACGCGTCACCGGGCCTCGGCACTACCCCTCCCTCTCTCAGACCTTGCGCAACACGCGCGGGCGGGAGCTGCTGCGCATCGTGGACACCGCGGTGCCCAATCTGACGCACATCAAGGACAGGCGGGGGCAGGGGGGGGCAGAGGGGGGCGGAGGCGGCGGAGGGGAGAGGGCGCGAGCTACGCACCGGCGGGAGGCCCAGCCACGTGCAGGGCTCTTCTCTCAGACGAGCAATGAGGTGGAGGCCTGTGATGCGGATTACTCGCTCCTGGGCGCTCCCGATTTGTCCCTGCTCTTGCCCTCGCTCTGCAATCTGACCTGCTGATCTTCCCTCGCCGTGTCCTCCCTACGGGTCCTTCTTGCCACGGCCCAGGACCGTTGCGCATTTGTTGTTTCTCGCCGCCTGGCAGTGGCTAGGAAGGGTTACACACCGTCTCAGTCTGAGCACGGGCCCCGCCGTGGTGCTGAGCCATCAGCAGCTGGTGTCAGGAAAAGGACGAGGAGGATGAGGAGGTGGAGGTAGAATGTGTTGAGGTGAATGAGCAGGTGGAGGGACCAGCATGGCGGGGAGGAGGAGGGAGAGAGAAGATGATGCAGAGTAGGAGAGATGATGATGAGGCAGGAGGAAGAGGATAATTCTTATGCTGCCTGCATCTGCTCCCTGCTCCTCTCCCTTCGCTCCCACTTCCCCCCCCCCCCCCCACGCCATTGCGCCTCCGTGCTTCGGGAGGTCTCTTGAGGTCTCTGGAAGTCCCCAGAGGTCCCAGAGGCCTTCAGAGGCTCTGGAGGTCCATACAAGGACCGGCGACAACTTACATTCTCACGGATGGAGGCAGGGGCAGCTTCCATCCGAGAATCCTGACGATTCGCGGTTACCCATTCGCCCCCGCCACCACCCAGAAGGTTGTTGAAGAACATCACGGTCTAAGCGACGCCCTGCAGCGTCTGTGTTTGTGTTATGTGGCCAACCGCCAGCGTCATCATACACACATGTATGTATGTGCGTGTATATATATATATGTGTATATGCATGGATGGATGTTTGTATGCATGCATGCATGCATGTACTTATGCATGTACGTATGTATGTATATGAACATGTATATATAGATATATGTATATATGTGTATGTAAGTCGGGATAGGTATATATATATATATATATATATATAAACAAATGTATACACATGTGCGTGTCTGCGCATGTGTGCCTATACCTGTATACGCACAGGTCTCTATATAGACAGAGCGGAGCGTGTTTCTTTATTGCTTGGGGCATAATGGGCATGAATGCCCCCGGTCCCTCTTCCCCCCCCCTATAGCGTAACGCCCCTCCCCCCAAGTGCGCTACAGTCACTGCCGCCGTGCGCACGGCTGGGGGGAGGCGTTACATTATACCCCCCCTGGCCCATCTCCCCTACAATGCCCATAGTCGCCGAAAAATCCGAAACGCGCTCGAGGGGACACACAAATACATATATACACATAGATGTTTATCTACACATCTATACACATATATGTTTATAGATATATACATACACATATAGGTATGTAGAGAGATAGAGAGAGAGAAAGCGTAACGTATGTCTCTTGGAGCGATCCCCACCCGAGGGCACGAGGCGGCATCCCCGGGGCGCGCCATGGCACGCGTCGGGCCCCGCTGTTCGCGCGGCATGCAGGGTGTGCGAGGAGGGCCCGGGAGCTTCTCCCCCCTCCCGCCAGGCGAGGAGGCGCTGCCCCCGAGGCCCTCCCCCCCGCGGTCCCGCGGCGGGCGCCCCCCCGCCGCGCAGGGATTGCGCCGCCCTTCTCGGCCGCGCTGCGCCGCGCCTTCGCGCGCGCCTTGGCGCCCCTGGAGGGGGCAAGCGAGCGAGCGAGCCAGCAAAGGCTGCAGGTCAGCGGCTGGCACCGAGCCGTGGAGGAAAGAAAGAGCGCTGCGCCGCCGATGCAGCACGGCAGGAGCAGCGTTCCCAAGGCGCCCCGCTGGCGCCCCGAAGGCCTTGGTGGGGGGGAGACCCCACGGCGCCCCGCCGCTGCCGTCCGAGGAGGTGCCTGGCTCTGTGACCAGAGGCGTTGCGCTGCGTGGCCGAGACTGTGACTAGCATTGTCCTCGACCAACAATCTCGGTCTCACTCTGGCGCGTTCTGTAACACTCGGGCTCGTTTTCGGATGCAGTTTCGGTCACCACACCCCTGCTAGAGATGAGGCCCCTTGCCTCCGCCGCCTCCTGACGTTCGTCCTCCCCTCGAAGAACATGGAAGGCATGAGCACAGTTTCTCGGAGGTCCGCGCGGATCTCTTGGAGCGGCGCTGTGCCAGGTGCGGCGCCGGAGGCGCCGCCAGTGGGGGCCCATGGCCGATCCAAGAAGTCCGCGCGGACCTCCGAGAAATAATGCTCATGCAGTGCTGTGTCTCTCTGTCCTCCGCCCCCTGGGGGCCTCCGCCGCCTTCCGACGCTGGCCCGACGCTGGCCCTCCTCCGCCCTCCTCTGTCCTCCTCTGGGGCCTTGCGGGGTGGCGCGATCCGAGGAGTTCAGCGTCGTGCTCCGGGCGCTGGCCCTGGACGGCCAGTGGAGGCGATGCCTGCGGCTCATGAAGGACCCGGGCGTGCGTCGGCGTCGTCGTCGTCGCTGCGTCGTCGTTGTCGTCGACGCTGCGTCGTCGTCGTCGTCGTCGTCGCTGCTTCGTCGTTGTCGTCGTCGCTGCGTCGTCGTCGCTGCGTCGTCGTCGTCGTCGTCGTCGTCGTCGTCGTCGGGTCGGGAGGAGGTGCGTGTGGAGGAGGACGCGGAGAAGGAGAGGGTGTGATGGGGAGGGGGAGAGGGAGAGCAGAGGTGGGTGAAGAAGCCCTTCCGTGTCCTGCCCCGCACTCCCGTGGGTCCCTCGTCTGTAACTGCACAATGGGAATTCGGAATGCTAATTTCCCCTCTCCCCTGAAGTTCTGCAGAAAATATTCCGCCCTGGCCGCATACGTTGTTTTGTTTTGCACAGGTTTCCAAGACTTGATATTTCCATTGTTTTGCTGCAGTCTTTTTTTGGGGGGGGGATCCCCACATGCTGAGTGGGGCTATTGTTTTCTCCCCACCCGCGTCCCACCCGCGTCTACTCACCTCTCATCTCCTCCTCTTCCTTCTTCCTCCCACCCGCGCGCAAATCGACACGGCACCTACATGAGATGCGTTTTTATACATCCGCACACATACTCCTCCTCACGCATCGCACGCACCAGACGCAAACATTGTACACGAGCCCTTCGCATGAGACACGCGTCCACGCAGCGTCAGACGCACGGAACACAAACAGTGCACCCACATTAAAACACGCATCCACACATCCGCGAACACATCATCCACATACACAAGACATGTGTACGCTGTCATGGGTATTCATATGACACGCGCACCAGACCCACCACACATGCAACACAAACACATCGCCCACGCTAGATCTAGGCACCCGCATGACGCGAACGCAGCACAAAACTTACGCGCACGATTCGCATGACGTAGTAGGCGTAGCACTCTCTCGACACCGTAGAGGGTGCGCAGGGGGTGGTCCCTGAGCGCGGCCGCTGCGCGCCCCGGTCGTCGAGGGCATCGTAGGCGTGGTACTTTCTCGCAACAGTAGGGGGTTCGCAGGCGGGGGTCGCTGAGCGCGGGCGCTAGCAGTGCCGGTCGTCCAGGGCATGGCAGGCGTGGGATTTTCTCGACACCATTGGGGGGCGATTCGTGCTTCGATCCTTATCCTCCTCGCCTTTTTGGCTGGACGCAGGCACGCGGGAGGCGCCGTGCCCCTCGGGCCGAGCGCGGGTGTCGTCGGCGAGTTTCCTCAATGGTGGGGCGAGCTGCCTCCCTGACGGGGCATGGTGTTGTTGATGAGGAGGAGGAGGTTGACGGTGGTGATGTTGTTGATGGTGACTGTGATTGTGATGATGTTGATGATGAGGAAGTTGCTGTTGCTAATGGTGGTGATGTTACGGATGGTGATGATGGTGATGATGATGAGGAGGCGGAGCCAGGAAGTAGAGGTGGTGGAGGAGACGACAGGTGGCCCCATGGTGAGGAAGCCTTCTCGTCGCCAACTCAGCTCGAGCTTCGTCGCTTCTTTGATTAGGGCTGGCGCCTCAGATCCTATCCAATTCAGCTTGGACTTCATCGCTGCTTTGATTAGGGCTGCTGCCTCAGATTCTCTCCTCAAGTAACTTCGACCCCAGTCTGCACTACTCAGTCACACCCTGACTGGCTCCGATGTCCCTCATAATTTGCGTCGGCCTGGCGACTTCAACTACTAATTGCCAGAATTGTGTCCCACACGATTCAG